ACTCATAGACTGTCAGTCACCTTGGAATATATTTCTCCTGCCTGTAAAAAAAAAAAAAAACAGATGGAGAATATTGTCCAGTTTAGGATCGCCAAGCTGTCAATGCTCGATTTTCCCAAGACAACATGTCACATGAAATATAAAATGTCATATTTCAGTACTTTCTTATGTAGATCCTCAAGGGAAAATAATAACTAGTAACTGTAATTTGATAACATAATTAATTTGAGACTCATAATTACCACTTGTAATAGTTTCCACTGAATTACTTTAAAGCTAAATTACCCAACCTATACATTCATTTCAGAGACATCTCATTATTAGATATCAGATAAATATCAACACTTGAGCATAAGAGTCGTCAGGAAATTATTTGAGACCATTGGAAGAAGGACACAGTGTTGAGATTTGACCCCCAGTCTCCATGGGAGGTCTAGATCCAGAAGTCCCAGGTTGTCCGCTTGTTTTCATTTTTGTTGCTATGACTTCAGTTTCACGAATTATGTGTCAGCTAAACTTCTGTCACACTTGTCATCCCTTTGCTCTCTTCCCATGAGTACTGGGTTTACACAGAAAACAAGCTTTGAGTATAGTAATAATCTGCTATGTGAGATTTAGCTGCCTTTCCTTGTGTAACAGGTTTTAATTTAGCAGATTTACTTTGGTCAAGCCCTGTATTTTCTCTCAAATTGCTGGGTTAGAAGTAGGTTGGGTGAATGGATCTTTATTTGTCTCTGTTTTTGTGTAAATCTACAGGTACAGGGAATCAAGCCAGATGGTTCCTAGAATCTCTCCTCTTGCATAGGAAATTGCTTCCTTAACCATGTCTATGGAATATTCTTTCTAAATTGGTTATCTGCATATTCCAGAGGACCATATAGACAATAGAGATGCACAATAAAGCATCCCAATAGAACTTTGCCTGTTCTTTCAGCATTTTTCTCTCACTTACTGAAGCTCCCTACCATTTTCATCATTCGCTATTCACTCCACCAACACGCATTTACTCTGAGCCAGGCACTAGGAGCTACTGAGAGCAGAAAACTAAGGCACAGTTCTTGCCTTTAAAAGGTTCAGTCTGTATCATGCATGCGAAAAATAAAGAACTGATCAAAGTATGATTTCACAAACCACACATATGTTGTCCTACAATGTTTTCTTGAATTCACATAAAATGAGGAGAATAACTTAAACTTTGTAGGGAAGACATTGTACAGACGAAGCATATTGATTACATATGGAATGAGTACCAAAATTGTTTAAGTCTAATTGCTCAAACAAGATGAAAACTGGCCTCTATGAAAAGTCAAGCTAGTTAGAGATGTGCTTTTCTACCAGCCTTCTTGGGAGAAATTAGCTTGACCACCACCAGAGATCTGAGTCAACACATGGGGAAAACTATGTAAGTGTAGGAATCATTTCAAAGTCACATAACAGTCTGATGAAAAGAAAAGCAACAAGGGCTGGGGATTTAGCTCAGTGGCATAAGTGCTTGCCTTGCAAGCGCGCAGTCGTGAGTTCGATCCTCGGTACCAAAAAAAAAAGGAAAAGCAAAAATTATAACGTACATTATATAAACTATCTTGAAGATTTGTACAGAATATTTCAGAAGGGACAACTGAGTCTGCTGAAGAAAGAAATCTAGGAAGATTTCACTGGAGAAGTGACAAGTTACCTGACCCTTGAAGGATGGGCCATGTAGAAAGGAGAACAGGAAAAACAGGAAATACATGGGGGTTGCTCACCTCTCCTTCAGGAGATAGATTCCAGATCTAGTCTGGAGTAAAGAATTGGATGAGAGGCCAAAAATGGTGCCAAAAGTTTATCTGAAAAGTGATGGGTGAAGGGATATGAGAAAAACCAGTTTTGCAGAATGAACTTGGGAAGAACAAGGGAGAAAGAAGATCAAAACAAAAATAAAAGTACATGCTGCATCTGGGCTGCTATGAGTAGTCACGATAGCGAGATTTTCTTGGCATCTGGTGTCCTTTGTGCCATCCAAATTTTGAGGAAACCTGAGACAACTTCCACATAGGGGTCCTGAGACAAGGAGCTGGAGTTTCACACTAATATAGGGGAAACACTAAATGTCAAATATGCAGACATGTTCCCAAAGCCAAAGGATTAATTCTAAGGAACAACAGAGACTAAGAGTAGGAAAAGTTATTGGAGAAAAGGAATGGAGAATAAGAACAGCTCCTGAGAGATAGGAGGAGTCCAAAATGGGTTACCATGAGCCCATCTCTTGAAGTTTTATAGAGCAAAATTAAGAGGTGGGTCAAAATTATGACCAACCAATAAGATTGCAAATATAGTCACTTAGGTAATATTGATCTAATGGTAGCATGGGTGACATCATTGACCTTGGTCGATAATCTGTAGTCTTAGCCCTATCTTTACTGTTAGCGTTTTAGTCCCAGTGGTTTTATGGGGGGTTAGCTCAGTGGTGTAAGTGCCTGCTTCACAAATGTGAGGTCATGAGTTTGATCCCTGGCACCAAAAAAAAAAAAAAAAGATATATTCAGTCTTAGTGGTTTTATTCAGTCTTAGTAAGTGGGACATGATGGCCCACCCCTAAAGAGATGCTAGGAAATTTCAAAACGGTGATATTGATAATCCCAAGTCTCCATTTATCCCTTAGGGAAGTATTCTAAAGTAACCATTTGATATTTATATTTAGATACTGCTCCAGTCACAGTCCTGATGCATTCTTATCTTTTGCACTGACTTTCCCAAAGGCCCATACCTATCTGACTTCCTACTGTATTTCTACCTAATTTAGCTGTCTATAGGAACACCTCAGGAAAGGTCAAGTCCAGGCTACCTTATTGAAAACCTGCTTGAATTCCCATAAGAAGTCCACGAACATGGGTTTGGGAATTGATCTGTCCATGTGTTCTGGGATGTTTTTGGTTCTTTTGGGGTTTTTTTTGTTTTGTTTTGTTTTGAGACAGGATTTCACTATGCAGTTCAGGCTGGCCTTGAATTCACTTTGTCACCCAGGCTTGCCTCAAACTCCCAGTGATCCTCCTACCTCAGCCTCCCAAGTGCCTCCCAAGGCTTCAGGCATGTGCCACCACAACTGTCTGGCATGGATTTTGTAATTAACAGGTCATATCTACTTCCCTAGCCAATTTTGTCACACCCTAATTTCCTACCTCAGATTTACAGTGGTCAGGAACATTTGAGAGGTGGATAAATAAAGAAAAGCCAAAAAGAAGTCAGAAGGGTTAAGCTGCACAAGTTTAGTTGCCCTTATCCAAAATGTTTGAGAACAGAAGTGTTTCAGATTTTGAACTTTTTTCTGAACATTTGCATATGCAATGAAATATACTGGCTTCATAAACACTTTATGTGTAGCCTGAATTTTATACAGTATTTTTAGTGTCTGCATTTTGACTATAATCCATCACATGAGGTCGTGTGGAATTTTCCACTTGCATTTTCATGTCAGCACTTAGTGTACCTGTGCTGCTGCACGCTGGGGTGGGTAAGTGGGGACAGAAGCCAAACCTGGGCCTAAGACCTCTTGGCACCTTTCCTCCGCCACAGCATCTGCTTAGGAGAGATGTAGTTAAAATCAGTAAAGACAATTCTAAAACCACATGACAGTGGAGGATGTTTCATAAGAGAAGACGGATATAGAGTGGTGGGCAGAGTCCTGTCAGAAAAACACCTTCGCTATACACGAGTCTAACATTTCTTTACCTATATTTACTTCCATAAAATTTGCCCTATTCACACAGTGTCTGCATACTACTTACCGTTTCCTCTCAGTTGAGTCTTGAAGTGTTTTCTAAGGTAAGAAACTTGAGTGTTACCATAAGTGAAACACAGGGATCACTTTTCATAGCTATTAGGCTACTGCTTCCTAAAGCCTGTGAGTGGAAGTTCATTGTTAGAAAAAAGAAGAGAGGGGCTAAAGGCCTGCTGAAGGTGGTGGAAGTAAATCAAGAAGTGGATGGCCAAAACTGTCAAATAGGTTGTAAGATGCTAGCAGAGAAAGCAACTAGATTTGAACAATGGACTACACTAATAGTGGAAGAGGTAGTAACCTTCAACAAAAAGCAAATACAAGAATCACCCAGGATTTGGAAGCAGCTTTATTGTTTGTTGATGGCATTGATCAGGATCATTCCCAAAACATTCGGCTTTAATTCTTGGTAGTTTGGGGCTTATATAGGATAAATAAGCAGGTAGTATAGAAGCGGAGTATTTGGTAGTTTATTGATTGGTTCATGCACCACTAACCAACCATTTCTAGGAGACAGTAGTAAGAGGAACTGTTACCTGGGCAACTACCACAAACTGAAGCATACTGGCAGAGGAGGGAGCATTTTCTGCTACAAACCAATTTTTTATTCTTGTATGGAGGCAATCTCACTGAGGTACTCCAGGCTGGGCTCAAACTCACAGTAATCCTCCCGCCTCAGCCTCCAGAGTGCTGGGATTACAGGCATGCACCACCACTGCCATCTGAAACCAAATTGTTATCCTCTAAGCAGCAAATAGTAGTGAGCACATGGGGAGAGTGAATTAAAACAATTCTAAAGGTGGCAAAATCGCTTGAGAGGGAGCCACTGTCCACAAGATATTCTCATTGTTCACCATAGTCCCAGCCTAACATTTCGCATCTAAAAGACACTCTGTATCTGTTGAGTAGTATTTCATGTATAGATCAACTGTTTGTTATTTGTCTTACCGCCTTGCCGACTACACATACCTCCAAATTATAGATAATACAGGGAAAGAAACTAAATGGTTCCTGAAGAGCAGAATAGCATAACACAAAAAAGAACTTTAGCCCTCTTCCTTTATAAAAAGATCGGGCATCACTGAGAACCGTGGACTCTTCCGAGGCCTCCGATCCTCGGATTCACTTCTCGAACCTGGCCTCTTCCAGAGACTCTCGGGCCGGCAACCGCAGAGACCGACCGAAGAGCGCAGCCGCCGCGCGCCCGCCGGCCTCCCCCTCCCCCGCGCCCGCCGGGTTACATAACGGGCCGCGGGCCGAGCTCTCGCGAGGTTTCCACCGCCCCCTCCTCGCTCCACGTCAGAAGGAACCGGGCGGAGCGGCCAACATGGCGGAACGCAGGCGACACAAGAAGCGGATCCAGGTAGCCAAGGCGAGCTCTGGGGTAGGGGGCTTCGGCGGTCTCGGAAGTGGAAGAAATGGGGAAAGCTTCGAGAAGGCACGGCCAGAGGAGAGGCAGGGTGGGCTCCTGCGGGGGGCCACTGGCCGCGGGCCGCGGCGCTGTGAGGAGCCTGAGGGGGGGCGGTGGCGGAGCGCCGGGGAAGGAAGGTGGCGCAGCGCTCGGATCCGGCCGCGGGGGCGCGGCTGCCGGTCCCCCAGCCTGGCGCTGCGAAGGCAGCCACGTCCCGGGCGCGGACGCCCACCCGCGGCGACCCCTGGCTCGCTCGCTCGCACATCCTCGCGTCTCAGGTGCCCGGAAAGTGAGGTCACGGTGACTGGGGTGGAAGGAGGCGCAGGTCTGACCCGAAGCAGCCCGCTCTTTGTGCGCTACGGAGACTACGGAGGAGGAAGGACTTGGGCTTGCACGGCTCCCGCAGAGGCCCGGCCGCGATCTGCTTATCCGTCGCGTCCAGCCTTCTAGCTCCTCAACATTTTTTAATTTAATAGTCCACTTGAAGCTTCCTGGCTGTCTTCCAGGCGACACGGCGTAAACAAACACAACCCCGATGGTGCTGCAACGAGCTGGTGGCGCCCAGAAATATTTCACGTGTCAATTTGTCATCTTAACCTACATAACATCCCTCCCGCATTCCACATGCGCGTCATTTGTGCATTTCTTCCCAGCAATTTTCTTGTCCTTCCTGTTGTTTGCCAAGAGGATTAGATAACGTTAAACATCTTAGACTGAGGATGCTTGTTAGTTGCTTCATCTGTTTATGTGCTTAGAAACCAAAAGCATCATAAACCGAGAGCGTGTTGTAAATTGTTAATATGCGAAACATATTGTTACACTCATTGTCTTTCTGATCCATGCTTAGAATGGCCGTTTTCCTTTTTATCTGTCCATTTTTTTATGTCTGTCAGTTTTTTTGACTCACAGGTGTTCCTAGTTAAATGTTTTTAAAAAGATATCAATGGTCAGTAAGTTTGCACTTTGACGGAAATAAAGTTAATCGCGAATAGGTTGCAGAAAGGAATTTAAAGGCAAATTCCAAGTTCAGACAGATCTTAAAACTAGGACTTACGGTCAATGCGAAGTTTCTTATACTGTTCCTAATCCTTTGAAATGTAGTATTGTTATTTTGATGTGGACAGGCAATATTTTACTAGAATTTGTCTTGAAGCTATCATATTTGTATTTACTGCTATTTACACCTGGCAGAATTTTATGCTAATACATATTGCTTTATTAGTTTCACCTGAGCTTTACTTTTGTAAAGGTGATGCAATTCGCTGCTCATATTTCAGTTATGATTTTATATTAAACAGAAAGATAGGCCAAAAGAGGTTTATAGGACTGTAGTGTTTGTTTGTATCCCAACTTCACCAGTTATTAGCTGAGTAGTTTTAGTAAGTTAGTCAATTTCTCCATCTCTAATAAGAAATGTTTACCTTAAAAACACAATTTTTAAAATCTTGTACAGTTAGAGTTGCTATGCAAACAGTAGGTGAGTCAATTACTTATTAAGTTACCAAAAGTACTTGGCATGAAACCTCTTCCCTTTTTAGAATGAAGGATTTAGATTGAATTGTTATTTTGGTTTTTGTTAAGCACTTTTTGATATGCTAAAGAACACATTGAACAGCTTGTGTGTGTGTGTGTGTGTGTGTGTGTGTGTGTGTGTGTGTGTCTTTTTGCCACAGGGTCTCTGCTGTGCAGTTCAGGCAGGCTTTCAGTTCACTTTGTAGCCCAGGCTGGTCTCGAATTTGCAAGGATTCCTCGGCCTCAAAAATGCTGAGATTACTGGCATGTGCCACCATGCCTGATCTGAACAGCTAGCTATCTTATGTAGCAAACAGACCACTAGATTTTGAGTTACATAAGTAAACATTTATTTTCTATTGTTTATTTGGATATTTTTTCTCCTTTGGTTTTTGAGGCAAGTCCAGGCTGGCCTTGCACTCACTGTGTGGTTTAGGGGATTCGCCTGTCTCAGCCACCCAAATGCTGGGATTACTAGTGTGCTGCACCACGCCAGGCCTGATTGTTTTTAAAAATGAGGTTGGCGTACTGCAAAATGAAAATAAGTTGTTTTTCTATCCTGAAAGTTTTCTACATGCTTGTGTAAAATTTTTGTGGGAGATCTTGGAATACTACCTTTGTGAAGTCATGACAAATTTATGGAAGTACTCTATCCTAGGAAATTCCTTACTTCTTTTCCTCCTAGAGAATCAAAGTAGGTATTGGCACCACTTGAAGTAAAAAGATCAAATGTAATGACAAAGTTCAGTTTGCTACCAAAAAAGGATTCTGTGGTAGGACTTTAAAGACACAGTGGAGTGTAACATCAACTGAATTTCCTGTCATTTGTTTCTTTATGTTTCATGTTGAGAGAAAAAGTGTTAAATAGATTCAGTGACCTTAGATTTGAGTTTCTACAAAGTGGCCTATTGATTTTTTTTTTCCTCATACAATAAATATGATCAGATATTTATTGTAAGGATATCAGATCCTGATGTTTTGGTGTCCCATCAGAATTACGGAACAAGAAGACTCCTGTCACATTTCCTTCTTGTACCTAAATTGTCAGTCACTGAAAACCTGAAATGAACTGTATGTTCATTGACATTATACTGTAAAATTTTAATGATTGAGATTCTCAAATGAGAATGATTTAAATCCAAATTAATAAAACATTTAAAAATAAAAGCTATTTAAGAAATGCAGTGGTGTAAGTTTTAGGAAAATGAGTTAACTTCATATAGAATAAATACGGCTTCCTAGAAACTCGGTTTAGAATCACAGTATAAAATATAAGAATTGAAGCATTTGTAGTAAAATTTGTTTGGAATTTTGTTCCACAAATTCAGTCTGATACAAAAGTGGAGTGATAGACCTAGATTACTGATTTCACCAGCATCCTCCAGACCTGGATTGCTCATTAAGGTAGTAAACTAGGTTTAGACCAAGCTTCTAGTTTCCATTGAATATTATTTCCACTTTACTGATAAAGATTTAAGTTGTTAGAAAATAATTTAATTTTGTTTTTATATTAAATTGTAAAACAAAGACTTTTATGACATGACCCCACTAAAGAGAATCATTCCTTCTAGTATTCTCCTTATGTGTATAATAGCCAGTTAAATTTTGGGAGATTTTAATGGCTTACTACTTTTTAGAACTTTTATAACCTCTATCAGTTATTTTTGTTGCACCCATATGTCTCCCTGGCAGTAGAATACAGCTTATATCATGGGTTTATATGCTTAATTTCGGAAAGGAAAGAAAAGTGAAAGTTTGGAACTCTACATCCAGATTAGAGGTCTGTCTTCTCAGGACTTTTCTGAAGAAAAGAGTAGGAAGCCAGTCTTAAGTTTGGAAACCTTCTCAGCTTAATGTGGAGGGCTTTGCATTTATTTGGCAAAGCTATTGCTGCAGAGATAATACCATAGAAATTAATTTGAAGTATTATATAAGAATACTGCTGTAGTCAGGACAGAGCAAATGATTTTTCTGAGGTCCCCTCCAGCTTTCAGATTTTAGTCTGTTAACTTATTGCTGTTTGTGTTCTCACAAGTACTTTGCACTGTTGTTTTTGTAATTCTGTACAAATGCACAGTAAATACTGTAACCATTGTCATTGTAATATTTGGGTGTTAGTGTGTTCTAAAATAAGCATAGTATCTGTTAAACAATTTTATAACATTTTTCTAACCAAACTTCTCAATTTAAATAATTTTGAGATGTGATTTGCAGTAGCCCATACATTGATATTCTGGCAAAGGCAGTCCGGCCTAACCTTTAGGGTCCTCATTCTAACACTGTTACACTCATTACTTGAGCTAAAAAATTCTCCCCATTTGTTTAAGAGTTAATGGGCTGGTTTCTGTTTATTAATGGGAACTAATATTCTCAAAAGGCTTTTATTTCTCATTGAAAGTCTAGGAAACTTAGAAAAATATTTTGTTCACATCAGAAAGGAACAGAGAGAGGACATAATATAGTTCAATGTGTAAACAAGACAGTAAGACTGTTTTATATACCCTCTTAGAGAATGGTGAGAGTAGAGAAATACCATGTAGGATCTCCTATATTTAAAACCAACTTCCCGTTGTCACGTTCTTGCACTGCTGTTCTACGCAGTTTCTTTTTTGCTCCAGAGCTCCAATGGCAAGCATTACATCCTTTTCATTATAGGCAAGCTAACATGGCTAACTTTCAAGTTGCTGATACACTAAGTATCAGTGGAAAAGTAATTCTGTGTCTAGTTGGAAGAGATTACCCAAATCTTGTATTTTCTAAATACCTTCTGTTCATTGTTAATAGTATCTTATCACGGTAGGACTGCAGTTGTAGAAAGATTGGTTAACTTAAAATTGTTAAAACGAGATCTAAATTTTTCTGAGTACAAAATAACATCCAATTTACTTGTTGCATAATGGAATCAACTTTTCATTATCCTTATATTTATATATCCTTATATTTTATGTATCCTTATATTTAGCTACATTTTACATGTAATGCCTTAATAAGCAGTCAGGAGATTAGTGCATTTATACTTGATCAGTAAGTGATTCAGTTAAGTGTTAGTATGTGTTCAATTCCTAAAAATAATACAATTGTTCTCCAGAATCACTCTCCTCAATTTCCTTTCTTAAACTGTCCTTTTCCTTGATCAATTTAGAAATCTGACATCCTTTACCTAGCCATTTCATTTATCTTTTATCAAGATTTATCTATTCTGCATTTGAAGTGTTTTAAATATCTACCTTTTCTGCCTTTAGTTCTATATCGTATTTATTTGAATATTGCATTGATATTCTAACTAGTTTCCTTGCCTTACTTTATTTCCAGTTGATACTACATGTGGCCACCAAAATAATGCTTAAGCCATTTTTAATAATTGTTTTATTAAAAAAGAAAAAACTACTGATATTTCTTTTATTTACTACTTATAGAATAAAATTAGATTTTCTCAATTTCCATTGAATACTTTATTATACTTAACTGTATTTAACCTCCCAGGGGTTCACACCTAGCCTCTTCTGAAGCCAAGTTTTATATTCATTCTCAGACACAGTGTTTACGGTCTTCTATTTTTCCAAAACTTATCTTTCAAATCTAGCTCCTTTTAAGAGCTGTTTTCTGGCTATCATCCCCATTAATAACTTTGCTTCTACTTGGCGTGCTTATAAAATTCTTTTCCTACCTCTTTCAGAAACTATTATTGCTTTTGACAGTTAGTGACAGAGTGTAGGTATTATGCCTTACAAATCTTTGATATTAATTATAGTGTCCAAAATTAGGATAAACACTCAGGAAGTATGAATTTGAATGTTTATTTGCCTTACAATCTTTATAAATAAGCCCAAACCAGTTAAAATTGATCAGTTAATTAGATAAACTTTTAAGTTGACAATAAATACATTAGATGAGGAAAAATTGAGCTTACATGGGTGTGATTATAAAATATAATTGCTTGCTTGCTTTCTTCTTCCATCTTTTTAAGACATGCAGTCGCTATGCAGGTCAGGCTGGCCTTGAACTCACTTTTGTAGTTCAAGCTGACCTCAAACTCCCAGTGATCTGCCTGCCTCAGTCTCACAGCTGCTGGAATTACAGGCATGTGCTGTCACACCTGGTTGTAGTTCGTTTTTATAAGCCATGTAAAGTTTCATGTTGTGTTACCTTTCAGCTAATAGATGAGCCTCCTAGAGGTATAGTGTATTATACAAACAACTGAATTCTGTCATTTAACATCATATCAGCATATATTAATAGATACTTGCATGTTTTCAACAATTTTACTGAATAAATTTCCATCTTTTACTATATCAAGAAGTATATTTTATAGCTAGTACTCATTGTTCTAAACCTTACAGATATTAGTTAACTTTGGAGTGTTATGTTTTCAGTTTGTAAATTTTAAGATTTTATTTTTTTGCTACATATTTTTATAAGTAACAAACAAGTTTTTCATAAATAATGTATTTGGTTTTTATAGTAGCCTTCTTTCAGGTTGACTGGTTTTTTAGTTTTTAATTTTTTGCCACAAATAACCCAGAGGTGGTAGTTGTAGAATAAATAATAGAAAAGTTGGAAACAGATACAGAAGGAAGAAAACAAGGGTGATTAAAGCAGTTTTTTTTTTCTTTGAAGCAGAGTGTCACTTTGTAATTTAAACACAGTCCAGTCTGATCTTGGACTTGCAGTGATCCTCCTGTGTCAGCCTCCCAAGAGCTGGGATTATAGGCATGCACCAAATGCCTAGCATAGAGTAAAGCAGTCTTTGCAAAAGTACTATCCAAGCACTTTCATTAATCGTTCTTCAAATGACATAATAATACCTGTTGCTGCATTTCTAATTTTTGCCTCACTATTACTAGGAAGAGGAGAAGGCAAAGTAGGAAAGGAGTTCCAATCAATATCTGGTATCATAACTGCAGAGGAAAGAGAAGGGAAAGAGTGCCAGTCATCAGTGTTTTAGTAATTCTTACCAGATTTGAGGCAGCTATCATAGTCTGTTATCCACTGCTGGGGAATATATCATTGATGTTTGTTATTTAATATTTGGGCACCTATTTCTCCTTAGACATTGTGCACTCACGATTGGCCATTTCATCTTTGTGGGTATTAAAGAGAGATCCTACAAAGGTGAATTGGTGCAAATTAGTTACCATGCTGGAAAAATAACCCAGTGCCATATCGTTGAAGTCAAGAAATAGTAGGCTTTGGACCAATCAATTTGTATTTGAAAATAATGTAGTTTTAAAAATCTCTTATTTTCTTCTACTAGGCCTGTTCCAGAGAAGGCTTCAAAGCAAGGACTGTATTTCACTTGAAAAGATTTATACTTGATCTTAGCCAAAAGACTGAGAAATGATCGCTTGAAAAAATTTACAGAACAAATCTATATAAATTCTTCACTACCTGAATTATTGAAATAGAGGGTTACACTAAAGTAATATTCTTTTCTTGTAGGAAGTTGGTGAACCATCTAAAGAAGAGAAGGCTGTAGCCAAGTATCTTCGATTCAACTGTCCAACAAAATCCACGAATATGATGGGTCACCGAGTTGATTATTTTATTGGTAGGATTATATTAATGGAATCATATTAGTGAACGTAACTTAAGAAGTTACCTGAGTTTGGCTACAAGTTTTTAAGTGCTTTTCAAATGTGATAATTGAAAGGGGTAGTGGGCATATGGTAGTTGATTATTTTATTGTTCCTTTTATGAGAGTGTCTATAATAAAAAATAAAGTACTTTTTAATCATATTTGTTGAAAATTTAAAAAATAGTGTTTATTAGTGTTGTAAAATACTACATTTTGTTCTGATTGTATGTATAGTTGGACCTACCTAAGAGCTTTGATTCTTCACTTCAGCTATACAACTTTGTTATAAGTTGATGCCATCTATTATGTGGCCCTGTAACTTTTTTTTTTTTTCCCCGTTTTTTTATCAGTACCAGGGATCGAACTCACAACTGCCTGCTTGCAAGGCAGGCGCTTATGCCGCTGAGCTATATCCCCAGCCCCTGGCCCTGTAACTTGTAATTATAGTGGTTGTGTTTGACTATCCCATCAGTTAAAATTATTTGTCATTATTGTTTGTCAAAATTGTCATTATAGAGAAGTAATTCCTTTTTAAATTTTATTAATCATTTTGATGTTCATTGAAAGTTTCAAAAATAGAGACATTGTAGTCTCTTCAAGCTTTCAAGCCTTCCCTGGAACAGACCTACTTGTAAGAGAAGATGGAGATTTTTTTTTTTAAAGCTGAATTATTTTTCTGGTGACAACAGTAAATTGTTCAGTTATTGCTCAGCAAGTTTCTTAATGAGAATTTTTATTATGGCAGGGATAAAGAGAAAGGTTTTGATTTACATTGTATTTGATAGTGATTATTTGATGAGTAATAGTTACAAATATTTTGAAACTTTTTGTAATTTTTCCTTTTGAATTTATCTTGTTTTAATTAATATTTCTAAATTTCATTTATTTCCCAGCCTTGCTTTGAAAAGATGCTTATCCATACATATCGTAGGTTGAAGTTTTGAGGAACTGTTATGATGATCAGTTAAACAGTTTTCTATTGAGCTGTTTTGTTTTCTGTTGTCAGAATATTGAAGTTTGCTTTCTGAGATATTACTTGAAATAAGTTTCTGTGTATACTGAATTTAAAATAATAAATCTCTTCCTTAGCTTCAAAAGCAGTGGATTGCCTTTTGGATTCAAAGTGGGCAAAAGCCAAGAAAGGAGAGGAAGCTTTATTTACAACCAGGGAATCTGTGGTTGACTACTGCAACAGGTAGTGTTTATTTCTTACTGAAGAATATTGTAAATAATAATATAAAATGCTCTCTGTAGTCCTAAAGCTCTTTACCCATTTCTGTCGTTAGATATAGTGATACTACAACAGAGATCAAACGTAGCTTTCACATGTAATTAGATTTCATCACTGTCTCTGGAAATCTATTTGGTATTAGCCTTGTTTTTAACTAAATATAATGTTCATTTGTGTTACTACTTTTATTGTTTTTTGATTTTTGTTTTTAAGACAAGATCTTCCTGTGTAGTTTAGACTGGTCTTAAACTTACTGTGTAGCCCAGGCTGCTGGCTTAAGCTTAGGGGAGTCCTTCTACCTTACCTCCTGAGGGGTGGGATTGCAAATTTGAGCCACCACACCTGGCCTAATGAACTAAAGGGTCAGCAATAAAAGTCTACACTAGTGCTGACAGTGAAAAATAAGTTTTCTTTTGTAGAACATAATAGCCTGAGAATTTCTTCTGAAGCTTTTATAGGGATTCCTATTATCCCTGTTATCCTTGCTTTTTTTTTTTTTTAGTGCCTACATCCTGAACCATAAGCCAGAGACCCTTTTCTGCTTCTAGTAATTGCTAATGTATTCTCTGTAAAGTCAAGGCAGCTGTAACCTTTTCAATTTTTGAGGATTTCAGAAGTACAGAGTTTGGTAACATAATGCTTTTCATAGCAGTCACCTTTTCTTTGCAAAAAAAAAAGGAGTTACAGCACTGGGGATTGAATACATCAGACAAACATTTACCACTGAGTGATATCCTCAGCTCTCAGAAGACCTTTGAATAATGTATGGCATGTCCAAAAGGCAAAATTTACCTTCCTTTTACAAAAAATTATGCTAGTTTCTCTTTCCATCCTCCCTTCGATTTACTTCACACTTATTAAGCTTACTTATCAATGTATGTTAACTAAATTTTGTTTTCATGTCACTAAAGGTTATAAACTAAGATTTTGAGATTTTAGATTATTTTTTGTATTTGCTAACACAAAGTTTCAGCAATATGAGAAACATTTTTAAAACGATTATTTTACAACCTGGTACTTAAAGAATTACCAAGTAATTCTTAAAGTTATTTGTTGCCAAAGACTAGAGATCACTAGTGGACATTTCAGGAACATTAAGTTTCATTGTTGGGTTTAGGATGAGTTACCAGTGACAGAGCTGATATTTATTTGCTCTTACAGCTATTTGCCTAATTAATTCCCAAGTACAGACTCCCCTACCACCTGCAAATAAATGGTACAAAATGGTACCCCAAAAAATGGTACAAAAATGATGGGATACTACATACGTAGAAACTAGAGCTCAGGGAAGTTGGGACCCTTATCCAAGGTCACAGAGCTCATAAGATCTGAGATTGTAAATGTAGCAGTCTGTTTTGAACAGCATGTAGTCTGTGCTATTTACCACTGCACTATAACTATCTCCCCCAGTAAAATGGAGAAAAAAACTAAAATTGAGTCACCTGACAATACTATTACTGCATTAATTCTGTGACTTCCTGAGTCTCATAAGGTGAACCATTGGTATCAGTCCACATTACCTGACCTTTTAGGAGTCTTGGTACCATGTTATATGAAAAGCTCAGGGTCCAGAGAATATCGTAAAGACACACTTTGCATTGTGTTTACTGTTCTCGTTTGTGTCAGTTTGTGTCCGTTCCACTCTAAAATGAAGGAGGGAAGCCTGCCTTACTATTTAAGATCCCTGGCAACTTCTAATTATAGTCTTCTTAGTGATGGCCAGTCATTGAGTCTTGCTCAGCCATGGTGAAAACCACAATGAGATTTTTGTCTGGTTTCATTTTCTAAAGCAACTAACTGGACATAATGGAGTCTGGGAAAAAACACGAGATAGGAAAATGTAGGATAGTAAGAAAACCATTTTATTTAGTATGTTGTATACCTTTTATGAACTCTTATGTATACTTTTATGTATATTGTTCATGAACTTTTCAACCTATTCTTCATTGGTCTTTGCATCAGCAATTCTCAGTCCATTAATGTCCTTGTCTTGTGCAAGTATGTCATAGTCATTCTCTCTTTTGTCTGTTGGTGATCCACTTTCTCTGAATGAATCTCCTTCCTCTATCATACCTGTCTCTATTACAAGAATGTCCCTCAAATCCTACTTCTGTCATGTAGTATTATTCCCCAGGTCCTCCAGCCTACAATAATCTTTATATCCAGGGTTAGCCGTTAATTATTTTAGAGTTCTTATATATGTATTAGTTTTTTAATTTCATGCCAGCTGAATCTGAAAACAGTTGTAAGACTGTTTATTGTAACTCCATAACAGTTAGCACAGTATAGTCATTTAGCCTAAATTCATCATTGCTGCATAGGTGAAAGTGCCTAACACATGCCTGGCATTCAATTAAATATTTGATAAATATGGAGAAAACATTAGAGATGAGGAAAGTACAGATGTAATTAAAAACTTTATAAACTTTTAAAATGATATGTATCAGCCCTGGAAATACAATGATTACAGTGTCTTGTTCCCTACCTCAAAACATAATCTAATCGCTTAGAGAAAATTTCTATCTCATAAAAATAATTGGTGAAACTGTCAAGAATGACTTCACAGGAAAAGTGTTTCAATCATATTTTGAAACATTAGTAGATGACTGCTCAATAAGCAAAAGAAGAAGAAAGGGAATCTTCAGGAGAAAGCACAGAACACATTGACACTGGAAAGTGTGAGTTGTTCTATGAAAATACTAGGGAGCTTTGGATTAAAGGTTTGTCCTATGTCTTATATTAAAACCAAATAAGGCCAGATGCTGTTATGAGTATCTATAATCCCAGCCACTGAAGAAGCTATGGCAGAAAAGTCAAGAATTGAAGGCTAGCCTGAACAGTTTAGCAAGATCCTGCCTTAAAAAAACAAAAAAACGCTACCTAACTGGAGGGTCTGATTTATTACAAAGGTTAAATAAATGTCAGTCTTACTTCCCTGATCATAGAGTGAGCCGAAGTGGACATTCTTTAAGGTACATGAGGGAATACATAGTTATTTACTAAACAGAATAGAATGCTTGTTACATTAGTAATTTTGAAACCAAGTATTTATTCTGTAACTATTAAATGAAATGGAAGATTTTGGCATAGAAATAATGGCTAACATTTATGCCAGGTCCTATGCTAAACAGTTTCTGTGCTTCCATTTATCGTAAAAATTCAAATGAGATACCCCATTTTAAGAGTCAGCTGAAACAAAATAATTTATCCAGTGTCTCAGCTATTCAAGTGGGAAAGAAGTATTCAAAACTATCTACCTAAATGTGAAACTACTTTCAATACAAATTTGATTAAAAGTTAATCCACAGGGGCTGGGGATTTAGCTCAGCGGCATAAGCGCCTGCCTTGCAAGCAGGCAGTCGCGAGTTCGATCCCTGGTACCGATAAAAATGAAAAAGACAAAAAAAAAAAAAAAAAAAAGTTAATCCACAGGCAGATGTACAGAAAGAATGACAGAAGCATATAGTTCTACAGTTTTGTGCTCTTCGGATTAGGGAAAAAATCATTAGGGAAAAAACTTTTTCTAGTAAAGTTTGATGGTTTATTTTATGTTACATCATGTCATTTCAAGTTGTGTTACTTTGTTATTTTGGTTTTTGTTATTTTTTTAGTGCTGAGGATCGAACTCAGAACCTCACACTTGCTAGGCTGGTGCTTGTGCCACTGAGCTAAATCCCCAGTTATTTTATTTTATTTATTTTTGGTACCTGGGATCAAACTCACAACCTCATGCTTGCCAGGCAGGCGCCATGCTGCTGAGCTATATCCTCAGCTCTGGTTTCTTTCTGGATCATTTTTTCCATTGAAGTAAATTTAAGTAAACTGAAGATACAGAAAGAAAATCATTTGAGACTCTATACTTTAGCTGTCATTAATGCGTGTACATGTACTCTCAGTATGTAGATATTCGGAACACTGGCTTTTTTCCCATTGACATAAGATGAGTCCTTATGTTCCTTATAGAAATCTGGAAATTATATAAATGCACAGACAAAATTAGAATATATGTTCACTATAAATTGTTTTAAGACATTTTGAAATAAAGTAAAAAAACAAAGTTCCCCTTCACAGTAGTATTAAAGTCTCAATTCAGAATTCTGTTTATTAGCAGATATCAGTGTTAACAGTTGAAGAGGGCAGTCTGAACAATACCATGATTATGTGCTAAATAGATCTGAACAAGTTGAATAGGCCCAGATGAATAGACCAGCAAGGAAACCTCCAAGTTAGCTTTGTGGAGAAGATCATGGGTGCCACCTAATTAGGGAGCAGAGAAAGCCCAGCCAGGCAGATGCGCTAAAGGGCACACACAGTACAGTGCTCTGTAAGAAGAGCACCTGAACAAGAAGGAAAAGTCAGTTAACAAATGATAGGACAAGCTGGAGCGGCACCAGCGGGGGTGTAAGTAGAAAGACTGCTAGCAACCATTGGCAGGCAGAGATGGTGATTGTTAAGTCCGAGCTTCTAGGTGCAGTATTTGCTTCTTTGTATAGTATGAAGTAGGAATGAAGAAACAAATCAAGAAGTCTGAAACTGAAATGTGGAATTTGAAAAGATGGTTTATAAATGACAAAGGTAAAAGCAGCTCAGTTTCTTGGGTAGGATTATAGGGTTAGAGAGAAGGTACCAACATGAGCTTACTTTGGATCAACTAAACTTCTGAATTTACCAGATAAATGAGTAAAACAAGAATCTCATTCTCAAGAAGTCTGTAGAATAGAGAAGAGGCAAACAGATAGAACACATTATAATGTAAGTTAGCAGATTTGTGCTGTGGATAGAATAACAGGATAGGGAGGCCTTATAATTTTAAAGAGGAGAAACTTAGGAAGTAAGGGAATGAAACAAACACACACATTTTTGAGGGATGTACATTCTAGGTAAAGAAAACAACCAGTATTAAGGTGCTAGTAGGAAGCTTTTTTTTAACCACTTAAGAGAAAATGTATATAGAGAAAAATTAGTGAAACTAGAAATAGTGTTTTACTAAATAGATTTTACATTTTTCAGATTAATCTTTAAGTCCTTATTAGAAAACAGATCTCACCTTAGTAGAGTTATTCATTGCTTAATTAAAAATACTGTATCATTTAGAGCAAGCAATAAACTGAATTGTGAAGTACCTGGAAGAAAAAACATTCAGAAAGACTGACAAAACATGAGTAGGATCAAACCATGGAGATACATTTATTCTGTTAATATTTCTTAAGAATGTTCTTCTTTTTTATTTCTGCATTTGAGAGTTAACATTAAATGAATCTGAGTCTTACTGGGTTTTTTTTGTTGTTGTTTTTTGAGACAAGGTCTCACTGTGTAGTGCAGGCTGTTTTTGAACTCAGTTATGTACTACAGAGTGGCTTAGAATGCACGGTGATCCTCCTGCCTCAGCCTCCTGAGTCTAGGATTATAGACATGTGCCACTACACCTGACCTAAGTACTCTTAATGAATGTAGAGAGAGGCTTTACTGTGTAAGGATAATCCAAAATCACCTAAATTTATACAGTTAATAGTAGAAATGAGTGTCACTGAGTTTTGACAGTCATACACAATAATCTAATTAGGTCATTTTTTTCTGTTGCCTTTTTTTTTTTTTTTTTTTTTTTTTTTTTTTTTTTTTTGTCCTTTTGAGACAGGGTCTTGCTATGCCATTCAGGCTGGCCTTGAGCTCTCTTTGTAGCCCACACTGGTCTCAAATTCTCAAAGATCCTCCTGCCTCAGCCTCCTGAGTGCTGGGATTATGGGCATGCACCACCACACTAGCTTGGTAGTTTTTTCATTTGGTAAAGTTGACTTTTTCCATAAGTGGTAGTGGTATTTCTTTTATGAGTTGCAAATGTATGCATTTCTTTGTACATTTGATTTGGGTCTTGATATTTGTGACTTTTAGTCTGTGTCTGTAGTTAATAGGGAATGTAACTTTATAACTTTTTTTAACCCAAGGCTTTTAAAGAAACAGTTTTTTCACCGAGCTCTTAAAGTAATGAAAATGAAGTATGATAAAGACATAAAGAAAGAAAAAGATAAAGGAAAAGCTGAAAGTGGAAAAGAAGAGGATAAAAAGACTAAGAAAGAAAGTGTAAAGGAAGAAAAGACAAAAAAGGAAAAAGAGAAAAAAAAAGATGGTGAAAAGGAAGACTCTAAAAAGGTAAGTTCAGCCAGGGATGCGGCTCAGTGGCACAAGCACAATGTCCTGAGTTCAATTTCCAGCACACACAAAAAAGGTTCAACTAAAATTCGGTAAAAATAAATCATTGTGTATACATGATAATGTAGCATATGAGCATATTTAAAATATTAATCAGCAAATCATTGAGCTAAATATATTAGGATTATTATAAATACCATAGTTGGAAGTTTCTGTGTCACAAGTAGTGGAAGCTTTTTCCTATGTGAATGCCATGCTGTTTTTGCTTGGTTATGTTATTTCTGTTCAATTGGTGTTTTTATAGGAAGAAACTCCAGGAACTCCCAAAAAGAAGGAAACTAAGAAAAAATTCAAACTTGAACCACATGATGACCAAGTTTTTCTGGATGGCAATGAGGTGAGAGTATTTAGCCTATGATTAGAAACAGTTTTTCATGGACATTTTTAGAAATATGTTTGATGTCTTCACTAAGGAAAAAAACATTGTGCTAAATCTAATCAGGCACTTACGTATAAAAGATGACTCTGTTTTTAAGAAAAACTTTTGTCGGGGCTGGGAATTTAGTTCAGTGGCTTAAGTGCCTGCCTGGCAAGCACAAGGTCATGAGTTCAATCCCTAGTACCAAAAAAAAAAGAAAAACTTTTGTCTAAGTTTAGATTTATAAAAAGTCAGATTTGACTGTGTATGATAGGAATCCTGAAAACATTGTCTAAATACAAAATAGATCCTTATTTCCTTCTCATCAATGTAATCTAGGGAATAAGCATTATGGTGGTCCCAAACTCCTTTATTTTCTCTGTGGAATGTTTCTGCGTAAGGTTGCTTCATGGTCCAAAATGATTGCCAATTTTACGTGTATATCCAAAAGAGGGAAGGAGCATAAGGAATGTGCCTCTTTTTTTTTTTTTTTTTTTTTTTGAGACAGGGTCATGATATGCAGTTCAGGCTGGCGTTGAGCTCACATTGTAGCCCTGGCTGGTCTTGAACTCGCAATGATCCTCCTGCCTAAGCCTCCAGAGTGCTGGGATTATAGGCGTGAGCCACCACACCCGGCAGGAATGTGCCTCTTAAGATTGTCTTTTTAAGACAGTGTCTTGAAAGATGATTTCATTTCTGATTGAATTTCATACTGGGTGGTTTTTGTTCAGTGAAGAGTCAGGGTTTCCATTATTACTGAAAAGAGAAAAAGCCAGCTGTATTGGTGCATAGCTGTAATCCCAGCACTCAGAAACTGAGGCAGGAGGATCACCATGACTTTAAGGCCAGCATAGGCTACATAGTGAGTTCAAGGCCAGCTTGAACTGCATTATAAGACCCTGTCTGAAACTAAAAAAAAAAATACAATACAGTGTAGTATAGTACAGAACTGGTTAATGAGTATGCCTACTGATCTCTGTTTATGTATGATGTGTAGTCAGACACATCATTTGAGGGCCCTAAAATTTTCAACATTACTTGATGCTTTGAGATATTTTTTATTTTACCTTTTTAAATAATGTGTGGTCACAGCCTTCTATAAACCAATACAGAAATGTTAGCTATATACTGGTTATTGAACTATACCCTTTCTTGGTACACTTACTAAAATAGCATATGTATAAAGTTGGGGCTCCTTGTGTGTTTGAAATTGTGGGGAAGTTTTTTTAAAAAATAAGGGCTGTGGGCTAGAAAATGCATAAAAATCTCAAGGGCAGGGGAAGGGTAGAGAGGTGTTTTTTGTTTGTTTGTTTGATTTGGAGATGGGGTTTCACTATGTTGGTTCCAGGCAGGTCTGGAACTCACAGCAATGCTCCTATCTCATCTTCTTAGTGCTGGGATTACAGGTGTGCATCACCATGCCCAGCCCAAGAGATACTTTTATAAGAAGTATCCTCAGGTGAGTCTAATGGTTAAGAACCACTGTAATAGAAGACTGCATGTATTTCCCAAGATGAGAACTCCAGTGCCTTCAGTTAAGCATTGAGCATCAGTTGTATGCTAGACATTTTTTTAAGGTGCTAGGAATATCATGATAAATAACAATGAAATTCTCTGTAAGGAAGCATAGTCTATTAAAGATGCAAGTATTTAAACATGTTACTGTAATTATAATGTGTTAATTGTTAATGATATGAGAACACCAATTAGGAAAAGTTAATTTAATCAGGACAGGGAAAGGCTAAACACGCCGAACACTGAAGCCAAGCCTTGACATGATTGGATGGCAGAATGACCAGCATACCACAGAGAAGTTACTTGTACATTAAAGAAGGAAGCAGGCTGAGCAAAAGCTGCATAGTGCTCTCCTGGGAAAGTTAGATTTAATTCTCTAGAAAGCTCCATATATCCCAAAGCTTTCAAAGTTTGGGAATGTCTTTTTTATTTTCAGCGTTTATTTTGAAATGCAACTGGCAAAAGAATGTCTGTGGAAATAACATCCAGGAAGACTGTACAGAGTGAAATAGGGATTGCTATAGAACCTAAGGTATTAAAAGAACAAAGTCAGAAGTCAGTAAGGACAGTAAAGTAAAAATAGAACTAGAAAATATAAAGTACTGTTATTTATAGAATCTAAAGAAATAAAACAGTGTAAAATATGGAATTAGATTTTACTTTCTAATGTAACCTTAGAACATTTAAGCACTGAGATTTCTTGATTCTTACAGGTTTATGTGTGGATCTATGACCCAGTTCACATTAAAACATTTGTCATGGGATTAATTCTTGGTAAGTAAGAACAGCTTTAAAGTATAATCTAAAATTTAGAAAATGTAGCACCAAAAGAAAATTTCTCTAAATATAACATAAAATAGTTATTGGTTAAAAGAGTATACTCTAAAATCAGTAAATAAATGATAAACTAAGGAGAATATTTACAACACAGTAAAATAAAGATCTTTAAGAAACAGAAAAATGGTAGAAAAATGGTAAAGGTAGCTCAGAGATGTTGAAATACAGTGAGCAGTCATCATAAGAAATATTTATAATAAATACAAAGAAAAGCAATAGTGATTATGAGGATTACAAAGCTTAGTAGCAAAAGTCTTAGAAAAACCAGTATTCACCAGAGGTGGTAGGTATAATCACTGCTTCAGTTTTAGCTTTATTAGGGAGACAGTTTAGCTTTATGAGGGAGACATAATATCTATGTAATTCTAACCACCAGAATAGAGTAGGACGTGGCATTCATAAGGCCTTGGATTCAATCACCAGTACTACATTTAAAAGAAAGTATACATAAAATAATTTTAGGTGCACATAAAACTGACTCAGCAATTCTGCTAGGAATTTATCCCATTTTATGTATACAGTTGCCCAGTGTGTGTGCATTTATGTGTTGCTTATTTTATTTTATCTTGTTTTTTGAGACAGAGTCTGACTGCATAATTCAGGCTGGCCTTGATCTCACTCTGTATTCCAGGCTGGCCTTGAACTTGTGCTGATCGTACTGCCTCAGCCTCTCATGCTGGGATTGCAGGTGTGCACCCCCAGCTCACTGTGTTTCTTATTTTAAGTCAAATCCCTCAGACTTAAAGAGCAGAGCACTCTAACAAATAATTTTCAAAGTATAAATTCCTGTCACTTTTGGCCTCATAATTCCCTTTAAAGGAGTATATTCTATTATACAATCATATTTGTACAAATTTACATGTATAAGGATGTTTGTAATATTATTGTCTGATATAGGTTAAAACTGAAACAAATCAAAGTTCATCAATAGAAAGGTGAAATAAATTATAGTGTAATAGAATACTGTGCAGCCTTTAAAAAATGAGGGAAATGTGTGGAAAGATATGTAAATGTGTATTTCTCTTAAATTTAAGGCAGGTGAAGATGGATGGGAAAAAATGATTTAGCAAATAGGAAATAAAATCATAGATTTCGCCAATATAATATCATAGGCTCTCACTCCAGACAGCCCTTTGGCATTGTAGTGCATGCCGTGGAAACCTTGGCTGCTGAGGAGACTGATAAAGGAAGATTATAAATTTGAAACCAGCCTGGGCAGCTTAATGTGGCCCTGTCTCAAATGAAAAAAGACTGGGGAAATAGCTAGTGGTAGAGCACTTGTCTAGCATACACCAGTTCCAGATTCAGTTCCTAGCACTACAAAAACAAAACCAAAAAATCCACCTCTTTTTTTGTTTTTTACCCACCTGTTTTGTGGTAAATCAAAACTTAGCAAAGCCCAAATAGCTAATAAAGTTATTACTTACTAGTTGCTTTGCTAAACACACACTGTCTCATTCTCACATTTAAGAAATAAGAGCAGGCGTTTATTAAATATAAGATAACAGCCTCAAAATGATGAAATAATTTGCTCAGCCTTACTTAGCTTCGAACCAGAATTTAATATTATCCTAACTCTACAGATCTAATAAACAGTCTTCTGATTTTTTGCAATTCTTTTATCATACTCCATTTTACTGCAAAGGTACTAGAGGTACTTGTGTACAGTTTTCCTAACTGCAAAAACTGTCTGTAGCAGAATCACCTGTGGTTTCAGAACTCCACCCTAGAATCAGAATCATCAGTGTGAGGTCTTAGGATTTTTTTTATTTTTATGATTTGTTGTGTCTTTAAGCTTCCTCACTTAGTAGATTGCCTAATACTCAAAAAATGATGTGGACATAGCTTGGAAGTGACAGTAGTGGATCATTTTAAGCAAGTTTCGAATTTTTTTTGAGACAGTCTTGCCGTGTAGGTCAGGCTGGCCTCAAATTCACGGCAATCCTCCTGCCTCAGGCTCCTGAGTGCTGGGGTTACAGGCTTGTGCCATGATGTCTAGCTAACAGTTTTGAATTTTTAGGCAGTTTTTTTTCTAATTAAGTGTGATTTAAACTAAAAATTATCCAACCTAATAAGAGGATAAAATATGAAGTTGAGATCATGAACTTACCCATAATTTACTACTTTTTATTTTTAAACATTGCGATTTTTGTATTGTTTCAGTTTGTCCCCCTAAAAATATGTTTATTTATTATAATCAAGTCATTTACATTTTTATTCTAAAAGTTATCTATATAACTTCATTATTTCTTTTTCCAGTGATTGCAGTAATAGCAGCCACCCTCTTCCCACTTTGGCCAACAGAAATGCGAGTAGGTGTTTATTATCTCAGTGTGGGCGCAGGCTGTTTCGTAGCCAGCATTCTTCTCCTTGCTGTTGGTGAGTATTAATAAAGTAACCTAGTAAGGTGGATATTAAGCAGTTGAGCTGTAATCTGGAGCTTCAGACAAGCTCAGTAGCAAAATTAACATGGCTGAATCAGTAAATATGATCCTATATTCTTTGTCAAATCCAAACTGACTCAACTTAGATTGGGTCCAAAATGAAGAAAAGGGGTTTACTGTATCTTTTTTTAAAAATGTTTTTATTAGTATTACATTTGATTGACAAGTTAATTGTGGGCATTACAACATATACTGTTGTTTTGATATATGTACACTGAAATGATTTAAACTAATGTGTCCATCACCTTGTTTACTTATTTTTTTATAGTGAGACATTTGAAATTTATCCTTAGTTATTTCAGAATATGTTATTAAATCTGCAAATAGATGTGCTTTTAAAATTAGGTATAGCAAAAATGCAGTGATGGGTCATAAAATTTAGTATATTTTCAGTAAATTCATTTTTGTATTTTCAGATAAGTGCAATTGGTCTTAAATATTTAAACTGTGCATTTGTTCAATGACTGATTCTAAGCAATTGCCACTTCAAGGAAAATCAGTTTTTATTCAGATTAAAGTCTAGATACGTTAAGGAACTAAATATTTTAAAAATCAAACAGGAAAACATAAATCCTTTTTTTTCCAAACATAAAAAAATCTTTACATCAAAAACAGACCAAACAACAAACTGCCAGGACAAGCAAAACATGAAAATTCCCGCATGTTCATACCAATTGATGAGAGGATTGCACTATTAAATAGTAAAGGATATGGCCAGTCTTTCATCCTTCAGAAGAACAAATAAAAAACAAATGACTTAACAGATGTATGCAAATGTTCATCTCTAGTTAACAATAAATGAAATGAGAAATTTTAGACCTGTTTAATAAGGTTTTTTAATTTTGCTTTATTTATCTTTCTGAGATAGGGTTTCACTATGTAGGTCATACTGGCTTTGAACTCACTCTATAGCTGGCCTTGAACTTGCAGTGATTTTCCTGAGTGCTGGGATTACAGGCCTGTACCACCATGACTGGCAGTTTTGTTTGATGTTAATGTCAAAAGATTTAACTGGTGAAAGAAGAGGCACCTAAATGTGAATATAGTGGTTACTTATAGTTATGGTTTTAATTTTTTAAACTGTACTTTAATTTTTTAAATGATACTATATTTTTCCACAGAGCCTTTTACTTAAAATTCTAGTCTTGGAAGGTTTTGTCTTTAAAGGCCAGATCTCTTAATTTTTCGCTTTGGGAAAGACACATGGCTTTTTCTGTTTATCAAGAGCTGCCTAGGATTAGTTGTATTGAATTCTTTGATCTGTTCAGTTTATATTATGTGGTATGAAGTTCTGGCTATATTCTCTAAATAACAAATCAACTTTCCTACTAAATCTGAAAAATATTTATAAAAGAATAAACAGTATCTACATTATTAACCCAATATTTTTTGTTCAGAGGACATAATTTGACCAGGATTATTCAAGTGAGTACATGCTATTCTGAGATTCTGTGATAGGTGGCATGTACGGCATTACTCCATAGTCCTAAGTAGTCTCCCTTGGTATGTCTCTTTACCCTGACAGCAGAGTGCTTCTAGGATAGTGCCACTATCCGTGGCCCTGGAGCCTATCTAGTATCTTTTCCAGTCCATCATGTTATGGATATTGTTTTTCTCTGTGATCTGTGACTCTTAAATGAGACCTCCACCTTCCCTTCATCTTCTAGCTCAGTTACCTTGAGAAAATCTCCTGCTGGTTCTGTAGGGGGCACAAGTAAAATCATAGGCTAAGAATTTAAACCTGTTAAGATAACTAGTGTTGATGTTAATTAATCAAAGAGAAAAGCCATAAATTTTAATCTGACATTGGATATAAAGTTAATGGCTCTCCAAGCAATGAAATTCAGATGTTCTTTGAAAATTTTCAGTAGAAATTTAAGGTTTATTTGTTTGTTAGTCTTTGAGAAAAGGTCTTGCTATGCAATTCAGGCTGGCCTTGAGCTCACTTTCTAGCCCAGGCTGGTCTCTTGCAGGCTGGAACTTACAATGAGTCTCCTGCCTCAGCCTCCTGAGTGCTGGGATCACAGGCATGCACCACAACACCCAGCTTCTTTTTTTTTAATCGAAGCATAGTCTCGCTTTGTAATGCAGGCTGGCCTTGAACTCTGCTTGTGTTGTACCTCAGCTGGCCTCAAACTCCTGCTTCAGCCTCCCAAGTGTTGGTATTACAGGCATGTACCACCACGACCTGTTGAACAGAATTGATCCACATGCTTATCTTTAATTAAGCCACTATTAACAATTATGACCATTATATTGTTTTGCTTTTTAAAATGATTTATTTGATGGGTTTTTTTACATACGTATACACACACACACACACACACACACGCATACATGCACATTTTTTTGGTACTAGGAATTGAACTTATAACCTTGCACTTGCCTGGCTATTGTATGAAGTATATATTCTGAATTAGTTTGTTACTTAGACTGTGTGTTGGGGCTGGGGATTTAGCTCAGCAGCATAAAGCGCCTGCCTTGCAAGCAGGCAGTCGTGAGTTTGATCCCTGGTACCGATAAAAACGAAAAAGACAAAAAAAAAAAAAAATTATAGACTGTGTGTTAATATCACTGTTTAAAATATGACAGCACTTTTCTAAAATGTGTCGTTTCGGTATGGTATTGATAGCGCATGTCACAGTTTTTTGTGATTCCTTCTGTTCTGTTGTTCCTGTTAATATAACATGTAGAAAATAACATGTAGAAAAACCATAAAGCATGTTACAATTCTATGCCCAGTTTTTATGTAGCAAAAAAATCAAGTGTTCTTGTGTCATTTCTATACTGCTTTTTTTCCCCCTTTTTTTTGGATACAAGAGTACTGTGAAACATCTGTCTTACAACCTTATTAAATCTGTTATAATATAGCTGGGGGTGGTGGTGCACATTTCTAATCCCAGCACTTAGGAGCTGAGGCAGGATTGCTGCAAATTCAAGGCCAGCCTGGACTACATAGTTCAACTACATATAGACCCTATTTTTAAAAAAAAAGCAAAACAGATCCTGTCTCAAAAAAATTAATAAAAACTCTTTAAAAACTCTTTAAAAATAATTTGAAAAATTAAAAAATCATATAGCATCATAAGTGTTTGGAAATAAAAGTGTAGCCTCCTTAAATATTTCTTATCAGTGACATTTATTCTGAAACCATAATTTCAAACAATGTACCTTTTCTGTTTGTGACCGAAAAGATTCTAATGTGTAATATTCCTTCAGTATACATAATGTTCTTGTGAAAATTAAAGTACTACATCATAAATAAGGTAGTTTATTTATAAATACTACTTTATAAAAGGCAAGGTGGCTATAACCATTTCCTCTTATTTATCCAAAACAAAATAATGGAAGAAGTATAGACATGAAAACAGTGATATAATTGATATAATTATAATAAATTTTATATATATATATATATAAATTATACATATAAAATTTATTATATAAATTGTATTTATATAATAAGTGATATAATTACAATAAATTTTTAAATTCATATTTCATTATCCCATGGTGAAAAAAGTAAACTAAAAAAATAACCTCATAACTAATTCACATTTAACATATTCACAGCAGGGCCATACATGTATGACTGTCCATGTCAACAATGCCTGATGGGACAGTCCTGCATATTCAGCTGGTGATTTAAGCCACCAAGCAGCAAAACATGAATTACAGCACTGCCGTGAATGTGTTAAATAATTTTGCTTTTGTTAGCATTGTACTGCCGACCTGTCCCAACACTGGTGATTATGTGCAAGGCCACCTCGCTGAGCTCCATCCCCATCTCTCTTTAAAATGACTTTGAAATCAGGTCTTGCTAAGTAAGGTACACTGGCGGGGCTTGGATTTGTGATCCTCCTGTTTCAGCCTCCAGTGTACTAGTAGTGCAGATGTGTATTACTGTGTGTATGATTTGTATTGTCTCCTAGTATTGAGAGAGCTGATTTTTAAGTAAATAGAAATTAGATAATTCACCTAATAAAACAAAAAGGACTAGAAGATAGAAACTTGCTAATGCTAGGATTCTCTATCCAAGGCTGACCTAGCCTTTAGGCAGAAGAAGAGCATATGCCATAGGTCCACAGTACATGTAGGGACCCACTCTTTTAAAATCAACAATAGTAACTACATATTTTAAATAACATACAGTATTTGCATTTATGCCATAATACAAAGTATAATTTTAGAACATGGAAGATATGTCCTATAGAAGCAAAAATATCCAATGCAAAAGAAAGTTTATGATGCAGCACAGCTTATTCCTTTTAAAGAATACATTCTTAATGTGCCTTTAACCAGTTACTCAGTGTTTTTGTTTACTTACACCATGAACTGATGAATGCTTAGCAGCTGACCGCTGTTTGTTGAAGTACTATAACATTAAATAAAGTACATAAATCCTGAGTATGTCTGAAACAGTGTCCAGATGAATATAGCAGTCATTTTTCAGGAGTGTGACTATAGAATTGTGCCTTCAAATTCAGATATATTGCTCCTGGTGGATTGTGATAGCTGTTAACTAGTCAGGATTTTAAAATTCATAACTATAGTGCATGCAATATAAATAAAAGTAATTTTCATAGTTTTTTGTTAACATATATTCCCTGCTATCCATGTCAATGACTGAATTACTAAATTAGAGAAATTTTTTGCCCACAGCTCGTTGCATTTTGTTCCTCATCATTTGGCTTATAACTGGAGGAAGGCACCACTTTTGGTTCTTGCCTAATCTGACTGCTGACGTGGGCTTCATTGACTCCTTCAGGCCTCTGTACACACATGAATACAAAGGACCAAAAGCAGACTTAAAGAAAGATGAAAAATCTGAAACCAAAAAACAGCAGAAGTCTGACAGCGAGGAAAAGTCAGACAGTGAGAAGAAGGAAGATGAGGAAGGAAAAGTAGGAGCAGGAAATACTGGAGCAGAAGGCTCAGGCGGAGAACGGCACTCAGACACAGACAGTGACAGAAGGGAAGATGACAGGTCCCAGCACAGTAGTGGAAACGGGAATGATTTTGAAATGATCACAAAAGAGGAACTAGAACAGCAAACAGATGGGGATTGTGAAGAGGAAGAGGAAGAAGACCACGACGGAGAAACATCAAAATCTTCACACAAAAAATCATAATCTGACTAATTTGAGGACTGAATAAGTGCAAGAGGTTGGATTTTCTATGTTGGCAGATCATCATAATGTGTATGTGGCATTTGTAGCATTCTTTAAGTCCATTTGCTGAAAGTATTCGACAGCCAAGCAGTTCTATTCAGTCCTTCATTTTATAGAACATTGGTACTATTATTGGTACAGTCTAAAGCCATTAATAAGTTTTATGCATTTGATAATTTTGCAGTAAGTAGGTCTCATTTTGATAGTTATCAAAGATGAATTTTCCACAAGACCTTTAGATTAAGAGCATTTTTGATAGTTATATGGCTTTTTACTGTTAGATTAATCAAAAGGAATAAATTCCAACATTTCAGATTATTCATAGTTTATGTAGCCATTTCACAGTTTCTTTAGGTTAAAATATTTAAACTCATTGTTCTTGATAGTTATGCTTTTTTTTTTTTTTCATTATAAAATTCTACCAGGAAATTTCTTAAAAGATTTTGAGTTAGCAGGGTTCAAAATTTGGTGAGAAAAGGCCAACTAGTAACAGTGCAGGAGCATTTTTGGTTTAGCTATAAATTCTTCTTTCCAACTTAGGAAATCCAAGCTGAATTGTACGCTTGATTCAGAGAAGGATGGTCATCTCCAGCAGGAAAGCAGAGAGCGTTGACTGAAAGGTGATGGCTCTTCTCCATCTCCTTGTCATAACGTAAAGCATATTCTGTACATAATTTACAAATAAAACATTTTATTTTAATTGTTACTTATTATTTAGACATTTCTCAACACTTAAATTTACAAAGTTAAGATCATGTAAGGTTATGTTTTTAGAGAAATGGAAGTTTGGATAACCCACGGAACATCTGTAATCTTTCTACAGCAGCTTCAGTTTTGTGCCAACATTCCATGTATTTGACTCTAAGTAAAAACTGATCCTTATCAAATAAGAGCAGACTTAAAAGTAGCTGTGTGTCCGCCTTAACGTTCATTTCGATTTTTTTTTTTAATCTTTGCACTCAGAAATGGGGTACTATATTTTCAGACCAGGAAGCACTGCTGTGAAAGGTAATTTACTGTTCTAAAATATCAATTTAAAATAAAGGCTATAAAAGAAAACATAGAGAACCATTGGCCTATAATTGCCTCAAACTGGTTTTGCAGTTTGATTTTTGTCTTGCAAGGTATAGTTACAAATCTTAGAAAAATCTTGTTTACTTACAGGCATAATCATTCCTTGGAGTTAAACTCTACAAACTGATAGTGAATATTAAATGATTTTCCTTGAGTCACAGTGAGAGTATTTTGCTTTGTAGTTGAAACAGGTGGAGTCTGTAGGTCTTTTTTCTTTGGGCTGTTTACCATCTAGGTGTTCGACTAAAAGTGTTATATTCTTCTAATTGTGAAAAAATACATTGACACATCTTATTAAACATGGCTCGGTTGCTTCTTCATAGTATTCCCCATAAGTGAACAGGTATGTGGCTGTTTGATGTTAAAGCAACTCTGTCAAGGCTGCAATCATTTTGAGTTTTCTGTAAGCAACTATTCATTGATTTTAGTGCCTGGGTACTTTTCCCTCACATTTGCAGAAATCTACAGTGAGGTTATATATAAGAGTAGCTTCTGAGCTTCTTAATCACTGGTCATGTTAATATTAATAATACTTATTTTGGAGTGTGAATGTGGTACCAAAAGTCTTTTTCAGAAATAAAAGTGATTTTGTTAACTTTTACTAGTATGAAATCCCCAGGCACTCGGTAATTATCCTAAACTTTTTTTTTTTTTTGAAACACGGCCTCTCTATGCAGTTCAGGCTGGCCTTGAGCTCACTTTGTAGCCCAGGCTGGTCTCAAACTCGTAACGATCCTCCTGCCTCCGCCTCCCGAGTGCTGGGATTACAAGCATGAGCTACCACACCTGGCTGTTACCCTAAATTTCTTTATGCTACATGTACTCTTGTCTAGTCTTAAAGACATGGAGCATAGCAGTTGGGGAAGTCAGCTTCTTATTGATGTGTGTGGTGGATTCTTAATAGAATATTGGTTCACATTTTTATAAATATTTGGTTATCCCTGAGGGGAATAATCTTACTGTGAGAACAGAAGCGGGTTAGTGTATTTTATAAATTGATTTTTTTTCCTTATTAGAAACTGGAAAACCACATGTACAGTTGATTCTCATTATTTGCAGTGCTTCTATAAAGTTATTGTGGACACTGAATTAGCAACCACTGCACCTCGGGGAAATGTAGGGCTAAGGTGTCTGCAAGCCTTTGGTTACAACATTTTCTTCAATGAAGTCATATGTATACTTTTTTTAACATATATTTTAAAGAAACAATATGTATTGTTAATTCATTAACATGAATTTACAATCAGTAGCATTGTAACTCATGCCTGAATGAAGCTGTTCTAACGTTTGTATTTTCTCCACCAGGCACATCACAGAAGTTTTGCAATTAGGGAGCACTAGACAGCTCTGCGGCACTATTTTTGGGCCACTTAAAAAGATAAAGTCACACGTGTGGTGGCACACTCCTGTAATCCTAGCACCTAGGAGGCTAGAGCGGGATGTTCACAAGTTCAAGGCCACACATAGCTGTCTTGAGTCCAGCCTGGGGTACATAACAAGATCTTGTCTCAATCCCCTGACACACAAAAGTGAAAACCTGTGGTATTAAATAGAGCAAAGGGATGCTCGTGTAAACGTGAGAACTAGAATGAGAGCTTACTCAACCTCAGCAGAGAATGGACAAGTTGCATTTCTTACTGTGCTGCACATGGCTGCAAAAGCACTACCAAAACTGCATACAAATTTACAGATATGGGATCCTCAAAACATTGACTGCATTTAACTCTCAAGTTGGGATGTTTACCTACTTACAGAACAGAATTGATTGTTGCATCATATTCCTGCATTTTAAATAACCACTATGTCGAATAAATAGATCCTTATTTTTGTGTAGATAATTTGCTTTTACTGTTAGAGCAATATTTTCTGTGTTCCTTCAATAGTGAGTAGTTACCATACTCAACACAGCCTTGAATAAAAATCCAGTTGTGCCCTCTTGGACCATCAAATAGTGTGGTATGTGCTGCATGGGTTTGCCGTATGCACTGGGTATCTCTCACCACTCTGCTCTCTGCCCCAGGAAGCTGACCTTGCTGTAGCACAACAGTGGGCTGCAGGACACTTGGCTTCTAGATGGGTTTGGCCAGCTCGTATCCTAGCTAACAGTGGTCAAGGTGTGTGATCTGGGCTCTGCTCTTGGTAGAGCTGCCTCCGCTGTCAGAGGTCATCACCTCACCCAGACGTCCCTGTGCCACTGCATTCTTCTTTATCAGAAGATGGTGTCGGTTTTGGTGCGGAGAGCCTGGAGTTTGTGAAGCTGCTCTGCTTCCTCTCTAGGTCCCACATTTCTTCACTTTTGTGTTGTATCCTCAAACTATCAGGTTTAGAAGAGCTGTCTGTTTCCTGTTGGAACTAAAACCAGTAAACCACAGACAAACTAATGAAATTTACTTGTCAGATCTTTGTCAGACACTTTAGAAAGGAGACTAGCTTTTCACAGCATGTCCTGAGAGTTCTGTTACGTGAATTGTATGCTAGGGGATATCGATTAAGTCTGCCTTCCTTAACAAGCCAGTAAGCCAGTGTCTGCAGCATTTACTTGGAAGTGTTTCGAGTAGGTAAATTGACCTACTCCACTCTTCACACCGTGCCCAGAGACCCTTTCAGACCAAATTACATGGCTTTTCTATCCAGATAGAATTGCAAATTTTACTTGGGTCTGAAGTTTTAGAATGGTTGAAAAGGCCTGTGATCTCTGTACTTAGCATGGCATTAGAAGCAGTTTATGTTTCTCTTAAGTCAGATCTTCACATTTTGGTCTCATTTCATTTTAAAGAAATGCCTACTGCACTTTAGCCTTATTGTGCCTTGGGCAAACCTCAGAATAATGTTCTTAAAGGCAAAAATAAGTGCAATGCATGGAATTATTAAGTTATATCAATGTAATTTAGCAAAGTGTTAAATTCTGATACAGTGACATGTATGAGTTTAATCTAGGAAGGGGTTTAATAACTGATACAACATTGAAATAGGATGTCTGCAACAAATGGGGAATGATGAGAAAATACCTCATACATATGATTGACAAAGTCAAGATTCTGCTAATACAAGTTGGGCGGGCTGTATAATTGAAGGAAATGTTGAATTTCAGTTTTAATCTAGCGAAAGTAATTTTCCTCATCCATGTTAACATCCACTGAATTCTGTTCTTTAGTCCCTTAGAGGTGTGTGACCACAGGAACCCCTGATCTAACAAATAGATCAATCCACCAGTGTTTCAAAACAGTATAATACTGTATTCAAAAACCAATGATGCGGGGCTGGGGATTTAGCTCAGCGGCATAAGGGCCTGCCTTGCAAGCAGGCAGTCGTGAGTTCGATCCCCGGTACCGATAAAAAGGAAAAAGACAAAAAAAAAAAAAAAAACCAATGATGCTTAATTTAGCATAATTTAATACTTAGCATAATTTAATATTCACATCTCATGTCTACTTCATTATCACAAATTAACAAGTTGTGTATATGCCTTACATTTCTTATTACAGAGACAAAAACACATGACTCCCAAAGTTAAAGGAGGAAAGATTTATTTAGCTCACAGTTGTAGAGGTTTCAGTCCATAATCAGGTGGAACATGGCAGAGGGGCAACAGTTTATGATAGCAGAAGACAGCAAAAGCAACAGAGGATGCGAGCCTGTGCCTGTCCCTTATATTGTCTGCAGGCTATCTGCCATAGGGTGAGTGTGATGCACCCTTAATCCCAGCAGTGGACCGTAAATCAGTCACAAACTTTAGATTCAGCTGACCGAAAAGCCCACCCCCCACCATGACTGCATGAGGCTGTGGGGGGACATGCAGGCACTATTGAGTATCTTTTTAAGATGGATTCTATTATTAAAGTATAGAGATACGTTTCACAATGTGAGAAGCAGGGCAGAGTCTCATGCATTGTTACGATCTGGACACGAAATATCCCCAAAGTATCCAGTGTTAAAGATTTGGTCCCCATGCAGTAATGCTCAGAGGTGGGTCTGTTGGCAGGTGATTGAATCATAAGGGCTCCAATCTATCTCATCAGCAGATTCACCTATGAGTTAAATAGGCCACTAGGAGGTGACAGAAGCTGGGGGCAGGGAGCACTGAAGGAAATGGATCCCAGAGAATGGCTCCTTGTGGATGTCCCTGATCTTTTCCTGACTTTCTCTCTTTCTTCCTGGTTGCCTTGAATGAAACAATCTCCTTAATAGATTACCATCACCCTAATGTTTTGTCTCAAGCCTAGTTACAGAGTCCAAAGAAACCATAAGCCAACTTAGCCTTTCCTGATGAGTTACTTTTCTCAGGTATTTTGCTAAAGTGATAGAAAACTGACTTAGTATATCAATACTGAGATTATCTTTCAATCATTCAACAAATGTCAGGAGTAGTTACCAGATGCCAAGCATTGTGCAGTGACAGCTCAAGGAGCTAGTTTAGTGAGAGATGAGTATTCATGCAAACAGTTGCAACAAAGTGTGTGATATCAGGAGTATGTGTGACATGCTTAGGGATCACCTAAGTGAGTGCCTGCCCAAGACTGGGAACGGCTAAAAAGGCATCCTAGAGAAATCTCGTGATCTTGGTATTAGGAGCCAGTGCAGGGAGGATGTGCAAAATAAGAGACAATGGGCTGAGCCTGGCATGTTCCTACAACTGACTGTAGTAGAAATGCAGCTAGAAAATAATTTGGCAGGTGATACAGGTGGTAGATGATTGCCTAGGATCTCTTCCTGTGGAAGAACATATGCATCTTCATTCCATCCCTGGGAGACGGACTCAAAGGAAGCATCCACACCAAGCCAGTCAAAGCCCTCTTACTTCTTCAGGGATCTGGAATCTTAAAACCTGTGTGGGCTTTAAGATGCCTGTGACTCCATTGCCTCTATAAGGATAGAAGCTGTCTAGAAATAAAACCAACTTTAAAAAAGAACCAAGGGATGGTTCAGGAAGAGGAGGCAAACAATGCCAATCTTCGAACATCTACAGCCAGTCTAAAGCCAATATTGAGTGGCTTCAATTATAAGGGTCAAAGATTCCTCACTGAAGCTATTTTGACATATTTCTGTCATTTAGAGCTGACAAATGACTGACATGCACACACACCATGGTATGAAACAGGGTCACTGCAACACCTCAAAGCTGGGAAGTGGGTTGGGGTGAGGGGAAATCTTGGGAGGAAAATGATAGGTTATGTAATTCTCTGAATATGCCCAGTATTTCTTAGTTCTGTGCATTCTAACTGCAAGTATCCTCTTGTTCTTTCTGAAGCAATTAAATTTTTTCTTTATTACAAAAATCAGAATACTAACAAACAAAAATAAAACCCAACTCTCCCATTCAAAGACAACCACGCATACATTCCACAAAAACTACTTGTGTGTGACAAGTGTATCTATGTGTCCACTGAGGTGGGAGGAGATGTTAAATAAATGGGTGCACACCACCTGCACCTTACCATTAGAATATTCAGAATTGATCTGGAAGAAAACTTCACATGTGAATCTAAAGACTTTAAATTTTACCAGAAGAACCAGTCATTGACAAGCTTGATTTTAAATTGTGTCCTGACCAGTTTCAAGCTTTAAAATTAAATGAGTTGAGCTTAGACTAAGTACCAAATGTATCTTACAGATTATATTTTACATTCCACTGTATTTGATGGTCAGCATAAGAGGTTAGGCCAGGTGTGGTGATCCTAGCACTTAAAAGGCTAGGACAGGAAGATTACAAGTTTGAGACCAACCTGGACAAATAGCAAGACTCTTTCTCACAAAAAGGTTGGGGAGGGTATGGAAGAAGATTTTATGATTCCTTGTCATGTCTTCAAATATACATTTTCATGTTTTACAATTGTGGCACACTGCAAAGAAAAGGGTCAGTAACAAGCAAATTAGTCTATAAGGACAAGAACAACAAATGTGGAGAGACTGCCTTGTGTATATGCGGGAGCTAACAGACTTCAGGAAGGTAAAGAGCTGTTAGAAGTACATAGAATAAGGCAGATCACATCTGCATCCCTACCTAGTTACAAACGCTATAAAGTTCACAAAATAAATCTTAATCTTAAAAGCTTTCCCCGTCATTGTCCTTTAATACAAGAACTCTCAGAGTGCTCCACTTCTCAAATTGCCATACGCTTTCTTCTATCTCACCTTCCATCCCACCAACTAAATCTTCAAGGGACTGATTGCAAGTTTTTTTTGTTTTGTTTTGTTTTGTTTTTTTTGTCTTTTTCATTTTTATTGGTACCAGGGATCGAACTCACGACTACCTGCTTGCAAGGCAGATGCTTATCCCACTGAGCTAAATCCCCAGCCCCTGATTACAAGTTTTGTAACATCATGTATGTGCAAAGGCCTTCGTAATGGTGCACACTCTGTAGTTCCAGCCTATTCCAGAGGCTGACAAATAATTGCTTAAGCCTGTGAGTTTGAGGCTTCCCTTGGCACCATAGCAAGAGTGTGTCTTACCAAAAAAAACCTAAACAAACAAAATAGCCAGACAATGTGATGCCCACCTGTAGTCCCAGCATTCAAGAAGCTGAGGCAAGAGGGTCACTGAGTTTAAGGTCAACCAGGGCTACACAGTGAATTCAAGGCTGGCCAGGAATACGTAGTCAAACTCTGTAAAAAGCAAAAACACAAACAACAGAACATAAACACGTGCAAGAACTCTGAAGATGCCTGGAGCTTCCAATGAAAGTGATTCACACCAGAGAGTATTATAGACAATGAAGGTAAAATCATAGGCGGTCTGACAGGGCTGGGCCCTCAAAAGGAGTTAGTACAGGTGCATTTCAGCTTGCGGTGGAGGCACATTCATTAAAAGCCAGACCTCAAGACAAAAGATAAAATCACTGCACCCATGTACATTTCCTAAGAATGAACAGTAATTAATATTCTAAATAGCACTGGATCCCCTTGGGTGGGAGACCAAAGCCTCCCTTTCAAGAAAAGTCCCTGTTCCATG